TCAGCCAGTCAGTCAGCTTCTGAGCCGGTTGTCGATCCAACCATCCAGCCAGTTGGCCATCCATTCAATTAAACTCAATCCAAGCCAACGGCGACGGCGACGGCAGTAGCAACGGTATTTTCTGTGTGCCGTGCCTGTGCACAAATTTCATTATTTAGCTCTTAACTGGGTTGATGTTGACCGCAGTAGGAGCCCGTATGTAGTCTGATGGCATGATGTTGCTTTTGTTGCTGTTCGATTGCTGCGCGGACACTGCAAGCTGAATGAAAAAAAAAAAGAACAACTCACTGTGAAAATTCATTCTATTATGTTATTAAGCTGCTCTTTGACTCTTTGCTCTGGCGAGCTTCTCCATCTCCATCAGGCCTCCCCACAGTGCATCCGGTATTATGGGTGTCCTCATTTATTGTCCATGCTGCTGAAATTGAAAATACAATTCTGTATTGTCTCGTCAGACTCTCGTTTTCAATCTTTGCGCTCATATATGAAATTGGAGTAGCAGTCGAGGTGAGATGGAGCCATTCTTTTTCTCCAGGCTGTCATACAACGATTAAAAACTTGCATGATTTCTAAATTGTGCTGTCGATAGACCTTGGTGGTTCACATTAACAGCTCAAATCAGGAATCCACTCAACATTCAGCTCAAAAGGTGACAAGGTCGCTATGATGATGTAATGAGCATAGTCGGGAACAGATGAAGTGTGTCGTAAAATTCCTTGATTGCGTGTTATAAGCAAAACAAATGTGGGCAACAAAAAGGCTCACGCATACATACATGAATGTATGTATATACGTATGAAGGCACCCGGAGCAACAATTGCTCGCCCACGCAAACTCAGCAACATGTTGCTGTTAAGGTCAGGGTGTGCGTACGCACGTCTGTGTGAGTGAACACGTGGCAAAACACAACAACAAAAAAAAAAACAAAACCCTTCTTGCATTTTCAACAATTCAACAATTCCACAATCTTGTCATGCGCACCATATGCAGGGGAAATGTTTCTTTGTGTTGGCAACATGTTCCTGCAACAAATGCTTATGAGTTCGTTTGCAACTTTACAGCAACTTCAACAGCAATTTTCTTATAAATTCATATAAATTTTTTATGAATATTTTACATCTAAAGATATAGCAGAATACCAATTGATTGCATTTGTTACATTACCCCTTCGAAACCCAGAGTATTTTATTGTAGCTGATTAGGGATTGTGTGTGTGGCACTTCTTGTGGGAGGTTCATGTGTGCCACGGCTTGCGGTAAGTGTAACCTTTTCGTTACTCTGTTCAGGTGTCCTTCGACAAACGTATAGCGACCAGCATGCCACCATAATCTCGTTTCACCTGATGCTGATTCTGTTGTGCTTGTTTATAGCAGCAGCCATACACCCAAAGGCAGTCGTTTCAGTAAATAAATAACGAGAAACAAATAAAAAGCAAACGAAACCCTGCAAGTTGTCAACTTTATGTGGAAAGTTACGGGCCCGAAAACGTACAACAAAAATGTAAGCAAAGTGATTTTATTATTAGTTCAGACCTTCTTTTCTCTCTCTCTCTTCGTTTTTCTGAAATCTGCTGGGTCAGCTGTGGCAGCTTAATGAATTTTATTTTATTTTTAACAAAGACATGAAGTTCTTAATTGGCTTTGCATTTTAACTGCAACTCAACTCTCATGGTGTAATTTGGAAGGCTTATTTATTTAACTTCAATTAGTTTCTGCATGCTTTTAAAAAGGTACTCATAGCTTTCTAATACTAGTAATCGTGTATATTTCGTATACTTGAAACGTTCAGAGTATATTAGTCGGTGCACCCGACATAAGCTTTTCCTCTAGAATCTAGGAATATTTCTAAATATTGAATGACTTATTGACTTCCTTAAGCTTCTGTTCCTTCATCTTCAATGGTTTTATGAACAAGTTGAGTCCAGAGTACTCGCGGCAGCTAGTCGTTTGAATTACATAAATTGCTTGTATGTACATGTTTGGGCAACATTTTGGTTGTTACGGGCAATTGCTGTCCTTGTCAATGCAGCTTCCTCTCAACAAACTTATTATATATGTAGCTTGAATGCGGGCCCGGCAGCAATCTGACCTCGACTTGCTAATCAGTGTACGCCAGTTTCTAGTTGCATGCGTAATTATGTTTGTTAATCAACATGTTGAAACTGTGTGCGGTGCGTGGCCGTAGCAGCAGCAACCTGAATAAATAGTAAGGACACTCACAAACACATGTGTCCCAGACCATGTGCATCGATTTCTTATTTACATTTAATTTACTCTGATTGTTCGTTTAAATAACGAAACACGCTAAATTACACAATATAGGCAGCTACGGGCTAAAACGAGCTCAGTTCAATAAACAACATTGTTTATGTGGAATGCTAATAAAATAGAAAATACCTATATTTAGAAGGAATCTGCTTAATATTACAATAATTGTTGTTGTCCAGCTAAAATTATTATCGACAAATTGATGCTTATTTTTAGCAACTACTAAATAATTTAGTAACAATTGAGACAGAGAGAGAGAGAGAGAGAGCAATATTTTGTATTGATTCTAGAGTACGAATGCAAAATATTGTGTCCTAGAATTGTGCTTATTTTTTAATAGTAAAAGGGGAGGAGGTAGGGACTAATGGATGTAATTTGGCTGTTCTGATTGGCTGTTTGTGTTGCATTAGGTTTGTTTGGCACTGGTCTTTTAAGGTCTATTTGAGCTTACTTCAACGCAATTAATTTTAAATGGTTTTCTAGTCCGGAAAAAGAAAAAAATAAACATAGAAAAAGGTTGTTTGCTTGAATTGGCCTTTGTGACACCCCAAGAGTATACTTACCATATAAATTATGAATGGAGGAAATTAGGGGAACATTCGCACAACGTTTTGCCAATGAATTGGAGTGAAATGTGTGGTCCAACTAAGAAGCTACGATGCCCAGAATAAAGTTAAAAGCTGTCTTTTAACTTGAAGCAGCAATATTATCCAACAGCTGACTGCATAATTGCCTCGATTCGCTGCATAAATTACATAAATAATTAAATTTCAATCAACGCATGTTTATGGCAGCGCCTTCAACAAGTAATGAGGTACACGCGGCGTATGAGTAACGGGACACTTCTGCCGTGTCTGCCGAGAACGAACAGGCGTGGAAACGTCAAGACTGCGCAAAGCCGACGCATGCGCACACCTTTTCTAGCCAACACGCTCACTTTCACTTTGGCAAACGTCAAAAGCGGCGAATGCTGCACAGCATCAATAGCCAGGCAGACAGGGAGGCTGGGAGGCGCTCGGACGGACTGAGAAAAGCTTCGTTAGGATGGCCAAAGCTTTCGGCAGCGTCGCAGCGCGAATTCAGTTTAGTTTTGACGGAACGAACGTCGCGTTTGTGTGTCGCGTCTCGCAGTGGTTGCGGAATGTAACGCAAAAAATATTCGAAAGAGGAATACCACAAAAAAAGGAGGCAAAATTGTGTGTGCATTACGGGCAAGCTAAAAAACAAGGGAAAAAAGTATATAGCGTAAACGAGAAACTTGGCAAGAATTAAAAGCCGCTCCCTGAAATGCGCCAAGAGCCGGAAGCTGCCCGTTGTGGGTGTGTGCTGTTTTAGTTGTACTAATAGTTGTTGTTGCCGCAGCTGCTGCTGCTGCTGCAATGTTGGGCATGCTCTTACCCACACACACACACGCACACACACACACACACACATACATACGCAAACACCCCTGTCTGTTGTGTGCTTCTGCATGTGTATGTATGAAGTGTTTTTTTTTCAGCTGCGTTCTATAGTGGCGGCTAATACACTTAGCAGGGCGCAGTGAAACACGAATTAAAATACAAGCACGAACCTCATCTGTCCTCTGAATAGATTTGCGCTTGTAATGAAATTAAAATAATTTAAGGACTTAGGGCTGGCCATTTGTAGTTTTTCTGCCGATCCCCCGGGACATGCATATGTGATACTTTATGTGTGTGCGTGTGTCGTAGATCTGCTTAAATTTTGTGCAGCTATCCCGAGTTTCCTTTGCAAATGGGAAATGTATGCAAATTAGCCTTAATCATGAGTCCCACATGCACTCATTAGCATTTTAGGAAACAGCAGGCGTTCCCATCAAGCACACGCCTACAGAAAATACACACAAACACGTGCGCGTTCCACAAACTTTCGATCTCATTAAGTATGCGCTTAATAAAGAGCAATCAAAACTTTTGTCATTAGCATGACCGCAGCATCAAAAGCCAACAACAACAACAACCACTGGGAGTCTTCGTTGTCCAAACATGATCAAGATAGGTGATAAAGCTTCAATGTGGCCCCTAAAAGCGCGCAACGAAAGATGTAAGACCCAACTGCATTTCCATATTGTTTATAGGAGTGCTTCAAAGAGTGGCAGACTTCCTTTTGTGAACTTTTTTTTAGAAATACAGAAAGTATATATAGCACGTCAATTTAATAGCTAATTATATCATATTAAATAGATTCCATTGCCCTAGATAGAAGCAAACATATTTCAGACCAAATGGTTTTAAAGCACAAACAATTCGCATAGCCGAAAAGCAAATGCCTCCTGCCTTGATGGCAGTAACCGCAATCACACACTCACATCGCATCGCACCCCCAACACTGCCACACCCAAAACAACATTCGGGCTCAAGCACAGTCAACACACACACACACACGCAAGTTTACACAGACAGCACACAAAACGTTGCATTGCAGTGGTATATGAAGCAGCACCAACAACACCGACTACAATAGCAACACCAACACCAGTTACCGCAGCATAAATGTTAAAGCATAGCCCAGGGGAACCGAAAGTTCGAAAATAAAAAATGAAAAACGCAAAATATGAAACCGAAATAGAAATAATAAAGTGATAAAGCACGAAATCAGAAAAGAGGGAAAGGGAAGAGTGCACAATGCGTGAGAAAGCAATGAAAACAAAGCAATACAATGAGCAGGCGACGAAATTCACAAAAAAAAAACAATAAAAATAACAGCATTAATAAAGCACATCAAAAGCCACCAAAGGCGCGCAAGTGTAAAAACATTCATGTGTGTAAGGAAAGGAAGGGAAGCGAGAAGTGAAGCAAAGTGAAGTGAAGACGATTCCGATCTAAATTGCGTAAAATATTCACGCACAACAATTCACACGAAGAACATCAACAAAACGTAGCATACTTTTTGGAGCACCCGCAGGGGGATTGCCCAGCGATGAAGCTCACAATTGTGCAACAACAACAACAATAACAGCAGTTCAGTCGCCTCTTTGGTGTTGACATTTCTTCTCAACTCCAACTTTGGCAGCAAAGGCAAACCGAGGTAATTATTATAACGACAATGCTGACAAACGGAAGCCAAAGTAGGTGGAGAAACGACAAAACAAATTCCCAAAATGATAGATACTGTGTGCTTCCACCAATTTTTTGTCTACGGCAGGCTCTTTTAGACCCAAAGTACTAGACCAAATAAAAAAGGGTCAGACTCTGTTGCAAAAAAACAAACAATATAATAATTATAAAGTTTATGCAGAACATCCACCAAAATTTAGCGTAAATTGTTGCCCACGCATCCGAGCCAGAGTAACGAGACAGCGTAAAAATTGCAAGCGAAAAAGTCGCAAACTTTTTAATGAAGTTTGTTTCATGTGACTGCGTGCGCAGTGACTCTCTTACTGACTGACTGACAGACTGACTGAAAGACTGTCTGACAGCTTCAATGCTTGTATACTCAAATACACACACAAACACACGCACACGCACACATGACCTTGCCCTCGGCAGCTAAAACGGAAATGCCAAAAATTGCTGCTGCACACGTTACAGGCGCGTAGCTTTATAATTTTATGGTAAACTGTCTGCGCTGGGACAAGATTTATGTGTTCCTCATAACATGTAAATTGGCCATAAACCGAGCCACAGAACTATTTGTACTGAATGTCACACATATCCGTATCTTGTTGATTGTAACCAGGTTAATGGTGAATGGTTTTTTGGCACAGATAAAATCTCAATTGCAATATAGAAAGTTCTCACAAGAAAGGGGGTACCTTGAAATATATTGAAACTATGCTAACAACCATCGTTCTGTGTATAAAGCTACAAAAATACATAACAACTTTTCAAAGGAATAATTAATTATGATGCTTTCAACAAATAGACAAAATCACCGAAACAGTATAACAATTAGGCAAATCGCCAGCACAATCGGAAGCCAAAACATAGCATGGCATACAAACTGCACTTTGCCAAGCACAACCTTTGCTAACTAATCCTTCGGTTTTAGCTTACAAATAGGCCAACAAGAACCCAGCACAGCCAGCTCGCCGCAAACGAGCTCACAATGCTCATTAATTACAGCTTCAGGTGGGTACGCCCTTTCGGCGTTCCCCTGCTACAGAATAAGGCGAGCAGTTTCTGGCATCTTCGGTAATCTGCTTAAGCGCTTAACAGCAACAATCAATGAGTGAGCCATTTTGGGAAGGGCTTGTCACGGAAAACTAGAGCCGCGTAAGCTAAAAATTATAACAAATATGTAAATTAGGCACAAATAAGAAAAGTTTCTCAAGTAATTGCGAAAAGTTTCGACGACACAGAATCACAAATACTGTGGCCACATCGATGTATGTGTGTAATGAAAAGTCTGGATGAGGAAATTTATGACCGTGTTGAAAACGTGCTACACACGAGAAGACAAACTGCGACACGCATGCGAATTAGCATATGAATATGATGTGTAATAATGTGTTCTAATAGCATTTTCCCATTTTGTAGCTCTTGGCAACCGTTTTTAAATTAAAAATCTTGGGGGCAGAAAGCGCGTGTGTCCCGATTCCAAGAAACTGTTTCCAGCATATTAATCTCATCAATAAACTTGAAGGGCAAATAAATAATTAAGAAGGAACGAGAGCTAGAGACAGGAACGCAAAAACGAAACAAACTTCGTTATTAAGCAAGGACCTAAACTTGTCAAATTGAGCTTAAGCCGCTTTTCTTCTTGCCCCTGACGAGCAGCCCCAAGTCCGAACCTTTCAATTACGACATCGATTCTTACGTCCCGACAGTTTCCATTTTCGTTTTTAATGCCAAAGGCAACAGAGTTTTCTTTACCATTTTTTTAATATGACAGCAAAAAGAATGCCTTCAAGAACAGCCGACATTGACAACGTAATGATAAGGCTGTCGCAACTTGGGCGCCTTGTCCTTGCCTGCTGGATGTCACACACCTAAGCCATTCCGCAACGACGTTCTGCGACACATGTTGACAGATTTTTGGCATTAATTGTAATTTTCCCGCGTCATCATAACAATGCCCCTTAAAGAAAAGCTTCTCTCGATGCTAGAAAGGTAAACTTAGAATGAGATATTGTATTGCAAAGATTTTTAATTGAGTATTGATAACAGTGGAAATCAGATTCTTTGGAATTGTTATTCAGACGGCACGTGCCTAATTTATTGCTCCCTTTTTAAAGAAGGAGGTACTTGGTACTTCAAGTGCTTGGCTTTGATCTCAATTGCTTTAATTGGAAAACTAAGCAGCGCTTGTGTTTGCTAATTAACAGCAAAGCATTAAGGTCAAACAGCCAAAGACGAGTTGCAAACCCCGAAGCTACCGACAACAGTTAACGGTGCGTATGCGTTATACCAGATGAAAGCTATTCAGAGACAATTTTCGCCGTGTATGTATACGCAAAGCAATAAATTCAAATTCGAATAATCGTGTGAAAGAAGATTGTAAATCTGTTCTGATTGCTTTACAATGAACACTGTTAAGCAGTTAGTTTTGCTTTTAATTCTATTATTAGGTATGCTGTTCATAGAAATAGCGAAAGCTTCTTAAATAGTTTACAGACAGACTCTGTATTTTAGCAAGTATTGCTTTATCTCATTACAGGGCGCGCATGTATATCTAATTTGTGTTCAGGAACCGACATAGTAGTCCTTGAATATGTATGTATTATTCACTGAAAATGTAAGTACACATTAACATGTGGATGTGTATGTGTTTGTATTTGTTTGGGTTTCTGTCCGCACTCTCTTCATTAACATATAACGCATGACGATATTTCCCCCCCGTCTCATAATCTAATGGCGTTGCCAAGTAAATGTCATTGCGCGTGGCACGTTCAGTGCTTTGTCACGAAAAAAAGGAAAAAGTATGCATATTAGAGAGCTGCATGGATACAGCTATAGTTCACTGTCATCCTCATGACTGAAGTATCCTTTTTAAATTTATTTCATTTTAATTAATTTACAAGCAAACATTTATGAATCTTTTAATCTAATTTAATTTAAAATATTGGTCACCATTCATTCGGTTACTCATTAGTGATTGGATTGACTGCATCACTGGGTACGATGCATTCGTGCAGGTCTTTAATGCATATGCAAATTTGAGTGTGTGTGTTTGTTTTTAACGCGCTCGCTTTTAATCTGTCCTGTCCTTGAAGCGCATTGTAGGACGTTAAGTTTGTGCATGGCTTTTATGTACGTTCAGGTACGACTGAAAAGGTCCTGGTAGGCTTGTGCTTTAAGATCACGCTGAAACCAGGTTAATTAGAGCATCACGCGGGCAGGCATCTGCACATTTTGTGATTGCACGTATTTTCTGTGTGACTGGGTATGCGGTGTACAAGTTGGGTCGCAAATGTTAAACGTCATGAAGTATGTTCCAAAGCAGACCCTTCCCTTATTAGAATATGAAGTAACAGAATTATTATTACAAAAATGAACAAGTTTTCAAAGTTATTCAAGTAAAGTAATGAACATGAGCTGAAGAACATTACCATTATGCATAAGTACACAATTCTAAAGTTCTCTATACACACTGTTCTCCGTCTAAAATATGACTCTACTACTTGTAGGCTGTCTGACGGATAGGACTTTTAAAAATGAATAATTTGCGACATTTGGTTGTATATTATTTTCTGTCTATAAACCCCTTATGTATAGTAGCCAGAATTATATAAATATGCAAATCTGTGGCCTGCCCATCACAAATGATATCCAGGTAGTATTTCAGACTCTGCTAATATGAATCATTTATTACGCTCTTGAGTATAAAACGGCGCTTGCTGCTGCTCAGCAAATAAACAAGAATATTTCCGATGGCAACAGCTTGCAAGCAACTCTAGCTGAAGTTCCAATTCGACATTTTCTACGATTTTCCCTCCATTTAGTCGAGTGCAGCATTATCAGGAGCGTCTGTTCGTTTGCAATTCAAATGCCACATGTCGTATGCGCAATGTAAAATTGAATGCAGCTGTAGCGTGCAGCTTGACAGCCAATATAAGCAGCATGTGCTGTTGCCATACGCTGCATATACACTACTCGTATATATGTATGTATGCATATAAGTATGAATAAATGCATACAGATCCGACACTTTACATATGTACATACGGGCACCATACACTCGCAGATACTATATGTTCATGTGTACATAGAAGGTTTTATGGCATGCAATATAATTTAATACGTATTGATTGGTATTCAATTGCGTCCGCTGACAGACTTGCAGACAACGCCTGGAAAAATATCATTCAATTTATTTTGCAAATGTCAAGGCGCTATATAGTTCGGCTTTTATGTACGTTGTCCTGTCTAGCACAAGCCCGCTCATTTCCTGGCATCGATCCGCATTTTAACCTTGTGCCTTTCCCTGGACAATGCGCATCACGAAATCATTCCTTGCCACTCCACGGTCAACACATGCGGCACTTTACAACCAATTTTGTCATTCAGTCATTCATCAGCGTATACGGACATAAAAAAATTCGCTCAACAACGGCCATCAAGAAATTCGTTTATCGATTTTTCTTCCTTTCATTGCCAACAAGAATTATTGTCAAGAGATTTTTATTTCGTTCTCTGTGGCGGCTGTCAATAAGAAAAGGCGTTTAAATGCTTCATCACGTAGATCGGAGAGAGCTGTGGTGGGCCTTGGTATCAAAGAATGTCGCATGTTGCGTGTGTGGCGAAAGTTTTACGACGTTTGTCATGGCATTTGACTTTGCATTGTGTTAATACTTCCATATACACGCAAACACACGTGCACACACACACTCAGTCAATTCTTAGTCTTGGTGTATTGCAAACGTCTGACAAGAAACCCCGACCTCACTCAGCATTCATATATATACTTATATGTAGATAGTTTTCTCTTTTGGCCATCATCAAGCTAAGTGCTGAGTTATTTTTATGGCGCCAAAAGCATTTTACGGCCCACGATGTTCAGCCGCGCCTATCAAAATATTTGGATATTGATGTAACTATGGGATGCATGTTTTATGACATACTTGCAGGCTAACTTCCGCTGGCACA